TATACATCTATAACAGGCTTTCTTGGTATCAGATATATCAAAATTTTCACAATTTCTTCTCAAGTGTGTTGTCAACCTTTTCCATAAAATTGCAGTTATTCTTGTGAAACCTGTCTTTAAAAGAAATGCAAGCATGAGTTTGTAACACTTTTGCCTAGAAAGTAACATATCAAATTCAACTATCGTCGAGTTCTTCAATATGCATGGCGCTATAATTCTCATTCTAAATTAAATCGTCTAATATAAGCATACTATCTGCATTTTTCCCTCCATCTCTAAGTTTCACTAAGTATGCTCGTAAGAATTTTTTTTTTCCCCCCGAAAGTAACAATATGACTATACTGAGCACGTAAAGCATATTGAGTCAATATAGGCCTTTCTTTAATTTATACACTTTATGCCCATACACCAATCAATTTGTCTAATACACCCATCAATCAGGCGTTTTAAGGAATTCTCCAGATTTGTTAATTAATTTTTCTAAAACACTGTGTAATTTACTAATTCTTCTAAAAAACACTGTGTAATTATATTTAAAAGGCTTGTTTTTATTGAAGATTGAGATTAACATTTGGTAGACTGCTTGGAATTCAAAGCTCTGAGCTTTGTTGTTTCTAGTTCTTTAGTTCAAAATCATATGATACATTCGATATAGATCCAGTTGACATTATGAAAAGAGAGAACGAACTCCTATCATTAAAGAAAATCAAGGTCTATACAGCTATCTCTAATAAAGAAATTATCTTATTCCTCCATCTGAATCAGGGAAATTGTAGAAAACATCACCGTCATCAACGACAACTGCATCCTTAGAATCTGTAAAAAAGGGAATCTGAGAATCATCTTCTCAACGTAAAAGAGAGAGTGTTACATCAACTAATATCAAGAATCCAACCTCTAGTGCCTTGAGCCAACCAGAAGGTGCCTCGTTCCAACCAGAAGGTTTCTTAACTAAAATCCTATCACCAAATCTGTACGAAATACTCAGTCTTCCTTCAGGGGTTCCTGCGATAGCATAGCTCATATTTTGAGCACTTGATCCATTATCAAAAAGCTCTTTCAATGGTAAATTCACTTCAATAAATCTGTCTTCAAGAGTCCTTTCACAGTATAATTTGATGCTATAAGATTTATCCCTTCTTGTTGGA